ATCAGCAATTTTAACTATCAAAATTTCCATGCTATTTACTTTTTGTGCCAGACTGTTTAAGTTATCATTATGTGCTGTTTGATTCCATACGTTAAGTGCATTGCTACTCGATCCCAATAAACTCTTTGATATAAGCTTTATTTTGATAACTACGATGTGATCAATTAATGAGAAATGTAGACCTCTTAGAGGAGGTAGGTATCTTAAAAGGTGGACCTATGTAGGTCTACCTTTTAAACAGCAGTGATAAAACTGGCTTCTGAGCTGCTTTATCTCTTACTAATGCAATCCAATTTACATGCAAAGCAATGAATGTGACTGTTAAATATTTTCAAAGCTTCGAAAGCAGTGACTAATAAACTCTCAGAATCGTTTTGCGGCTGACGACGAGTATGCAGAAGTAGAAAAGTAGTGAAAGAACACGTCACTTCAGACTGTGTCAGAAAACCTTATACATGTTGTCCTTTGATGTTTCTGGAAACCTCCTAATTCTTATCTCTCGAAAACGAATGATGGGGTTCTGCGAAGGAAACATCATAAACTGTTTCTTTCCAGCTAGTTTTAAAGACGAGGCTTCTTGGCTGGAAAGAAAAGTTTTATCATATCGCTTTCGTTGGTTTTCGGAGAGGGACTGTAATTGCCTGTGAGAAGGATTTTGTAGATGGTTTAGATAAAAACCCTCCTTTCTCTTTCATTAGGGACTTCAAAAACCAAGAAGTGCGACCAGTTTAATGCTCTTTTTTGTGATAGTATTTATGATAATGGACTTTCATTTCAAATGAATCTGAAGGTTTGTTGGTAAAACAAGTGAAAGAGATATTAAAAAAAGCCGGATATAGTCTTTCTTTCTTTGTATGTTGCTAGCTGCCCACAGCTACTTTCTAGTTGATTCAAGGAGCAACTATACCAATAGACACCAATAATCCGATGTTAAAAGAATCTGAAACTAAGAAACGAAAACTGTCAGATGAAACTAAAGAAGAAACAAGGGTTTTCTCGAAGCGGCACGGGCTTGAACTGAAATTAAAATTAAAACCAGAAAAATGTATTGGTCTTTGTCGTCGATTAAAATTAAGTAAGGAACAAAAATATCTTTACAGACAGAATCCACACTTACGACAAGTTTTTCTGGAAGAGAAGAAGAAATTGGTTTTCTATTGCGGTGGCGATAAAACGTTTAGTACTACTGAAAATCGTCTCCTTCTTCCAACATCCGGACGTACACCATATAATTCATCCAAAACTAGTTTTCAAACTGTTAAACATTATGGACAACGAAAATTGCTTATGTCTGAAATTGAATTTTTGACAAATGTTATTGCTACGGCCGCTCATTCAGCAGACTCTCAGAATCTGTTAGTCATTTATGCTGGTGCTGCTCCTGGTTCACATACGAATTATTTAAGTTTAATGTTTCCCCAGTTGAGATTTATTCTTTTTGATCATTCAGAGTTCCTTGCGGAAGAATCCGACCACATTAAAATTCGTCGTGAAATGTTTACTAATGAACTGGCAGAAGAGTATTCAACAATGAAAGGGAATTTATTGTTTATTTGTGATATCCGTACGTTTTCTTCATATGCTGAGTTGGAGGATGATGTGAAGAAAGATATGACTAGTCAAATGCAATGGATAAAGATAATCAAACCACGTGCTAGTTTGATAAAATTTCGATTGCCATATACGGCAGGTAAACGGACTGACCAAATGTTACGGAATTTTCATAACTGCTTGCCGATCCCCGGTTTGCACCTACTAGATAGATAGTATGAAGTGCCCTCTACATAATGCAAAATAAAGTTTCAAAATTAGACTACGTGGGCAAAAAATTGCTTACAAAATAAGAGCTGTAAAAAAATGTGAAAACAAATGAGCCATTTTCTAGAGAATTTCATCCTCTATCAATGGTATAATTTCTAGAATTTTGAGAAAATATTCTAGATCAGGAAATTAAATTTCAAATTTCAAACTTTTAAATTTAAATTTTCACCATGAAAATGTAACTTTCATTTGTTTTTGAGTTCAGATTTGTCATCAGTGCGAAAACTCCGTCTAATGATGTATTTTTAAGCTTGGTTCGAGTGGAAACAAAAGCTCGAACCTTTTGATCCAAAGGATGACCGTTAGCTCGTGCCGTTCATCACTCTAGCAGACGCATATCTTACTTTCATCTCCATCCTAGGTAAAACTTCCTATTTACAAGGTCAACTCTATTTTCAAGCTCGAAGTACTGAGTGTCGTCTTCTGGTTACCCAAGATGACATTAGCAAGCCATTAATTGAATATGATAACACAGATTATGACTCAGCCATGTTTTATTTTTCGACGTGTACACGAACAATGTATTATGAACATGATTATAACAAAGGAGAGCATATTGGTTTGGATCATTGTTATGATTGTCGAACGGAGTTATTTATTTTAGAACAATATGTAAGGAAAATTAAGCAGGTAAAAGAAGAAGATGAAGTAAAGAAACAAGTGTTGAAATTATCATCAGATATATGGGACAAAATTACGTCGAACAAGCAAGTACCAAGTAGAAAACGTTAAAAGGGTAATAATTTTTCGTAATCTGACTCAACCTGATCTTATTGAAAGAAAAATGTCAAACGTCGGAACATTCTCTGATATACCCACATATCTCTCAAGTGATTCCATAAAGAGAACTAGCTAGTTATTATGATTATCTTTCACGTTAGGCGCCGTTTCTATGTTCTACGCGCACTTATTTTTAATTAACGCAGAAAGTGATTCCTATGATCTGTTTTAGGCTTAATCTACGCGTTGGGACATACTCAATGTTATTCTAATAATTTTAGCTCAAGAAATAGTCTAATTTCACCAAATTTTGCTATATACGATACACTAGGTGTTGGATTGTGTAACGGAGCATTTCAAAATGTAGGACGGTCTCTCGGCCGATCGGTCGGTCGCAGGTCGTTCGGCCGGTCGGTCGTTCAGCCGTTCGCTCAACCGCTCTGCCGTTCTGCGTCATTTAAATTCTAATTTATTTTATCTTGTTTACTTTCGGTTCCTTTGATGGTATGGTGGATACATACATACACTGGCATATATATATTTATATACTTCCAATTTATTCGTTATTTTTAAAATAACGAGTATTGTAGCATAAAGCAAGCGAATATAACAAATGAAGAAGAGAACATTGTTATTTCCATTTACTACTATACAAGAAATATATCTCAAATACATTAGATTTTGCACATTTTGTACGTATTCGGCTGCACTTTTTATTTAAAGTTTCTTTGAATAGAGCACTCTTCTGCTTTTCGTGTGTTTTCATGTGTTAAAAGACTATTCTTTTATACACATGTACTTTTCTTTTACACTTTATTCTACTCTGATACTATTTAGATTTTCCTGTAAGAGAAAATTTTCTGTTTTTCTGTTTAAAGAATAAAATAAGAAACGAACAAACTCTATATTTTCATCAAATGTTCATCTTTTATATATTCAAGAAGAAGAGTGGTCACTGTAAATTTGGTTCGTATTGTACCAACTCCTCGAACTAAAATTACATTAACTAGAGTAGGCCCAATTCCATTGTCTATACTAGTTGAAAGTACACAAGTTGTACACCATACTAATATATCTTTTAGAAAACGATCTGTTTTAGTTTTTGAGATATTTGACGGTGAATATCATTGATTATGGTTTAGAAAAGCAAGGTTTTGAAATGATAAGACAAACGCAAATACCGGCGGTATTAACGTCGGCATTATTCACGTTTAAAAGTTTGTGAAAGTAGTATAATAAAAACGGGCTAAGGCATGTATAAATACATGATGTTCTGTTAGATAACACTAAGACTGAGTTTTTTACTCACATATGCATCAAGGTCGCTTACTGGTCATTGCATTCCAAAAATTGCTTTTCTGAGCCATAATCAACGATATTCACCGTCAAATATCTCAAAAACTAAAACAGATCGTTTTCTAAAAGATATATCGGTATGCTGTACAACTTGTGTACTTTCAACTAGTATAAACAATGAAATTGGGCCTGCTCTAGTTAATGTAATTTTAGTTCGAGGAATTGGTAGAGTAGTATGGGGCAATTGCAGACAGTTTTGCGATCTTTTCTCTTGTAATCAACATAACTTTGTGATTTTTATTAATTTTTAGTTGCTTTTTTGCAGGTAGGTACATGGAAATTTCCTGTACAA